TCGTAAGACGACATCTTGTGTCATAATCGTGGTCGTAAAACTATGTTTTTAACCGGGAAGTTACTGTTTCTTACTTAAAGTTAATCGTCGATTGGAATTCGAGATTTTGCAACTGTGAAGGTAAATAACGGAAGAATGAGAGAAGACGAAGCGAGAAAATACTTTCAGCAACTGATTAATGCCGTTGATTATTGCCATAGTAGAGGAGTCTTCCACAGAGATCTCAAGGTATTTTAAATTCGTTTTTTTTTTAAATATTGCATCGGAAAATTACTTCGAATAGTTTCTCATTGTGTGTCTTTATTTGTTTATTTATGCAGCCAGAAAACTTACTGCTCGATGCTGCCGGAAACCTTAAAGTTTCCGATTTCGGATTAAGTGCTCTGTCCCAACAAGTCAGGGTAAATATCCGATTTCTAAAAATAAAGTAATAAATATCCAATTTAGTGTGTTTTTTTATATATATAATATTTTGGCAGGATGACGGATTGTTGCATACGACCTGCGGAACTCCGAATTATGTTGCTCCAGAGGTACGATGATTATTAAAATATACTTCTCCGTCGTCACGTTTGTGCATTTTTTTATTTTTTATTTTAATTTACGATAAAAAATATCCATAGGTACTCAACGATCGAGGCTACGACGGAGCAATTGCTGACTTGTGGTCATGTGGAGTTATACTCTTTGTGTTGCTTGCAGGTTACTTGCCTTTTGACGATTCTAACCTTATGAATCTTTATAAAAAAGTGAGCACCTTTTTATTAATGTTTTTCGATTTCGAGTAAAATTTTCCACCGTTATTTTGTTAATAATTTCATCTCGAAATTTCCAGATATCTTCTGCTGAGTTCACTTGCCCGCCTTGGCTTTCGTTCGGTGCAATGAAGTTGATTACTCGAATCCTCGATCCAAATCCGAACAAAGTAAGAATATCATATAATAAATGATGAGCTTCCTAAATGTATATTATACTAATATGAATTATATTGATTTTTTTTTTTTTACGATTTTTGAATTTTATCCAGCGCATCACAATCGCTGAAATGTTGGAGGACGAGTGGTTTAAGAAGGATTACAAACCAGCGGTCTTTGACGAGAACGAAGACACAAACTTGGATGATGTGGAAGCTGTATTCAAGGATTATGAGGTGCGTGTTTTTCACGAAAAATGCCGGAATCTTTTTTAGTTGTAGTAAAAAAGATTCTTGTGTAGTAATTAATATTTTTTATCGTGCAGGAATATCATGTAACGGAGAAAAGGGAGGAGAAGCCAGCTGCAATGAATGCCTTTGAGTTAATTTCTATGTCGAAAGGTCTCAATCTTGGCAATCTTTTCGATGCACAACAGGTTCGATCTTTATTTTTTTTCCTTGTATTGTGTAACGGGAAGTCGTAATTATGGATAAATAAAAAATTCTTGCAATACAGGGATTCAAGAGAGAAACGAGGTTCACATCTAAATCATCGGCCAACGAAATAATCAGTAAAATCGCAGCAGCTGCAAAACCTCTCGGTTTTGATGTTCAGAAAAAGAATTACAAAGTAATTCATTTCCCCGCACGCTTGTTTCGACATTTAAGTTCTATTTGCAGTAAGGAAACGAATATTTATATTTTTCGTTTTTTTTTAATTATTTCCTCAGATGAGGCTGGAAAATTCGAAAGCTGGACGAAAAGGCAACCTTAATGTTGCAACAGAGGTATATAAATATTACCACAAAATGTCGTCACCTCCTCGTTTTTAAGACGCATTTCATGCTTGAACAACGTACGTACGTTTTTTTTCGATAATTAATTATGTGCTCGAATTAGGTTTTTCAAGTTGCCCCGTCGTTACACATGGTTGAAGTTAGGAAGCAAAAGGGAGATACATTGGAGTTCCACAAGGTACACTAGTTTTTCTTATTTTATATTATTTTTATCGAAAAATATATCATAAAACGAAGTGTCTTCGATAATATCTCTACCACACTCGAAAACATCCCTTCAAATCGGAATTTGATTTTACATTAACCAAGTATGTGTTCATATTTATGATCATAAAAAAAAATCGCCTTTATTCACTCTTTATTTAATTTAAATTTTTGGTACGCAGTTCTATAAAAGCCTTTCGACCTGCCTCGAGGATGTAGTTTGGAAAACCGAAGAGGACATGCAACAGACAAAGTAGATGTAATGAAGAGCAGTAGGAACACTTTCTGCTTGTAATTGTATAATTATCGTATTTTTTTTCTTTTCGATTTTTCATTGGCTAGTGCAATTATACGGTTGAGTTTTCGTAAGATTACATAATATTATCTTAACTAATTATGTTTAAGAAATAGATTTTTCGTAAGAATTACATATTGCACAATTACACATGTAACAAAAGAACACCTCCTAATATGTATATACCCCCACACAACAACCAAAAAAAATAAAAAAATAAAAAAATTACCTCGATTGTCCGATATCTCTCGTAGTTCTACAAGGGAAAAACTTGTCATTCATAGTATTTTCCAACATCCTCGCACTATTATTCGAAGCTTGAAGTTGTTCGAGCGCAGAAAAAACCTCAGTCATGGGCGGACGATTCTTACTATCCACGTCTAGGCATCGTAATGCGAGTGCAGCTGTAGCTTGCGCCCCCTTTTTCGAATATTGGCCCCCTAACCTCGAGTCCATTATTCTCAACATTTTTCTGCTGTCGCTTAAAAACGGCTTAGCCCAATCGACCAACGTTTCTTCGGCTCCACCTGCATTTTCATCGCCCGTGGCTCGTTTACCAGACAGAAGCTCCAGCAGAACCACTCCGAAGCTGTACACGTCGCTCTTTGGACTTAAGTGACCTGTTCGAATTTTTTATTTATTAGAAAAATCATATGGTATGAGCAAATCGAGATCCTAACTAAGGTTGTTCTTTTTTCGGACGGATTTGTCCTTTTTTTTCAAGTAAATAGGGCTGAAAATTAAACATGACTACTCGATACTCGGGTAGAGGTGGATTGTCAAAAGCTAGTTTGAGCTCGTTTTTGTTTGATACGAAAAAAAAAAAAGATGGTTCAAGTTCGACTCCATTTGTAGGAATTGAAAAAATTGACGACATACGGTTTAAAAAAAAAAAGAGCTACTCATGCTCGATTTAGCAATTCACAGCAGAAATAGCTATTAACAGAAATGACCTGTCGCTACGTATTCCGGTGCAGCATAACCACGAGTACCCAAAACACGAGTCGAGACATGAGTTCTATCTCCTTTCGGACCCTCCCTCGCAAGCCCAAAATCCGAAAGCTTTGCATTGAAATCCTATACGAAGCACGATAATTATTAATCTTAATTATTGTAAATAAATGCAGACCCAAAGATTTGGACATAAAACTTATTTCTAAAAGTACCGAATCAAGAAGTACGTTAGATGCCTTTAAGTCCCGATAGATAACATTAGCATCTAGACTATGCAAGAACGATAACCCTCTTGCAACATCAACTGCAATCCTTAACCGTATCGCCCACGGCATAAGTTGCACTCCTTCTGCACACAAAAAATATTATTACACAACATTATTAAGATTGAAATAAACAGACATTTTTTAGGAAATTAAACCTATGTAATAATTTTATTACTTCTGAATAGATGATTCTCCAAGCTTCCTTTCGGCATGTACTCGTAGACCAAAAGCTTGTTCTCGGATTCTGAACAGTAGCCGATTAGCTTCACGAGATTCTCGTGGTGTAGAAGGCCTAAGTAGTTAACTTCTGTCTGAAAATAGACACAAACGAAAAGTCGAAGTCATTTCCATAGACCAAAACCCGAAAACCGAAAACCTGAATCCCGAAACACTAGGAAACTATTTTCAAGAATTGATGTATAATAATACGTACAAGCCATTCTCTGTGGCCTTGAAAGCTTTCGGGCTTGAGTTTTTTGACGGCAACTACCATACCAGTGCCTGGTTTGCTTGGGGCGAAGGTTTGCTCGTCTATCCATCCTTTGAAGACATAACCGAAGCCTCCTTCTCCGAGGAGACTGTCTGAACGGAAGTTTCTAGTAGCGGTTTTGAGGTCGGTTAAGGTGAATGATTTGAGGTTGCTCGAAAGACCTTTTGATGCTAAGAGTACACTGCACAAAGAGCCTGAATGGTTTTGCTGGTTCGAAGAAGCCGGGTACTTATTTTCTGTATTGCCATCTGTATGCTTATTGTCTGAAATGGAATGAAATACTTGCAAGAATTAATCATGTTCTTCATGCATATATATATATATATATTAAGAAAAAAATAAGATTTTTTTTTTCTACACCATAGCTAATAGGAATTATTCCCATGAATTTCAGGAGCCAAATTTTTCGGAGGCTCCTTCAAATAAATTTATCAAGAATGACTGTTTTCGGTTGAATTTCAGAGGTGTAAATTGCTCTACACAGCATATAATATATACTAATCACAATTTTCACTAACGCACACCACGTGTTCGACAAAAGTTCACAGAGACAACTCCAACAACAAAAAAAAAAAAAAGAAAATCGCAGGATATGAAACCAACTTGTTAATCTTGCATTGTAAGAAGAACAAACATCAAAATTTGAACAGCAATAAAGGAAAAAAAAAGTTGATTACCAGAGAATTGTCCAGAAGAAGCATGAGCAAGTTTAGCAGATTTTCCCAGACAAAGCCCCATGTAATAAAGATTGCAGAAACAGAGTCACCTTACAAAGGTAAATGAAAAGGGTCGAATTATTTGAAGAGGATGAAAATGAAAGAATATTCAAACCTCAATAGTATTAGTACTGAACCCATTTTTTCTCTGTGGAAAATGAAAGAAGAACAACACATAACAAATTCCTCCCCCCCTCCCCCCGGGGTTGGGGTGGGTCGGGGGTGGCTGCTTTTGGTCTTTAGTCAATGATGAAGAAATTCTTCATTGAAATTAAAAAATAATATGAAAAAGCTTCACTTATATTATATACTAAAGCAAACAACTTTGACTGCAATTTTTGCTTGGAATTCAGAAATTCAACAACTTCACAATCTAAAACAAGGAAATTTAAAATTAAATGAATTAGACATCACATCATATTTATATTTACACGTTTCCTCTGGGTCACGTATCCCTATTTTCGGGGCATGCTGTTTCCCCGTATCGCCGTTTTCGTGTCCGTGCTCAATAACTTTTCACGTCTACGCATAATTATGGTCTTTCAATTATTGTAAAATGAACAAGACTATAAAACTTAATGGTCAATGGGTAATGAATTATGTTGAGTTGTTCAAACTTAGAAATTATTTCAATTTTGGAATTAATTATTTAATTGGATTATCTGAAAAGGCTTGAAACTCGAAATTAATGTCAAAAAGATTTCGATTTTTCAAATATCATCCCTTTGAACTTTCTTATTTTAATCAATATATCACATCACTAGAAATTAAAGTTAAAAATTGTTTTAAACCAAAAATAGCTATTTTCCATCAGCATATGTAGTAATAATAATAATAATAACATAATATAATAAATCAGTGACGATTTTAGCAACAAAACAAAGCACAAAACTTGGTTAGTATGTACATTGTAGGTATGTATGATTACATAAAAAGATTCACAAACACTTGCAAAAGACTTGTCACAATCAGATTTTCTCTTCCAACATCAATATTTTATAATCAGACTATTAAAAATAAAATAAAATAAAATAAAAATCAGATCAAGGCAACTGAAAAAAGGCCTAGCAACTGACCAAAACCGAAAACCGAAAAAAAAAAAAAAGTAAAATCAATCAGCAACTATCGATCAATCTCACAGCACAATCAAGATCCAGTAGATGATCTGTCATCGGGTCCAGCGAGCATAATCTGTTACGAACAAGGAAGGATTAGTCGTGTATTTCGAGATTCCAAATTATATTGATTTAATTTTTTTATACTTACATTACAGTCGAATGCAAATCTTCTTGCGAGCATAATAGCTGCGTTTCTTTCTCGCTCTGATTCAAACGCTAGTACGAAAGAAATCCCGACTTTTGGCTGCCAGTATACTGCCTGTGCTGCAGCATTCCCACCGCCTCTTACTCCACAAATCTTGCGATGCAAAAAAATAAAAACAAAATTAAATAAATAAATAAATTGTGTCAACATCGAAATAAATAAATAAAAGAAAATGTCGATTTTAAAACTCGTACCTGCATCGAATGGGAGTAGTATTCCTTTGCCATTGTTGCGTTGCCTCGGCAAAGCTTAATTCTCATCTTCCCTATATGCAGTACGTGTATAGACTGTGATGCGTGATCTGTTCCGTTCATTTGGATTATAACTACCTGAAATAAAAAAAAAAAAATCGTAAATGTGAACGTATGATCGAGAATTTTTTACAATAAATAAGGAGCATCGAATTAAAAAAAAAAAAAAAAAAACGTACGTTGAACTCAGTCTCGTGCCGTCGGACTAATGCTTCTACATAGTTCCCCAATCCAGCAGCTGTAATGAAACGAAAATCAATTCCGATTTTTTTTAAGGTAATAATAAAAATAATATAGAAACTCAATAAACTTTGAAGGGTATAAAAGGTAATAAAAAAACGGACCGGGATCAATAGGTCCAGAGGTGGTTAGAGTTATAATCTGATCAACGGCCAATATTTCAGCTTGCAGTATTCGTCCAACATCAAACGGCTCGGGTGCGTATATGGATTTCGTGGCCCCTGATATTTCGTAGAAACGCGGATTACCATTTATAACCCTACTCAAACTACAAGAAATTACAATTTAACCGAAGGAGAATGTGTGTGAACCTGATATAAGCTCCTTCTTGTCATCCTCGGATGTCGAACGGTACCACTGGATCGTACATCCGGAAAGTTCCGGAGCACTATCTGAACATGGATATATCCGTAAATACGAACCTAATGACTCGGGGCCGTCTATGTCGTACAACTGGGGTGCGTTTTTATCGCCTTTCTTGGTTATTGCCAGCTGGAAAAGAAAAATATTCATTTGGTTAATGAAATATTGATTTATTTATCTTTCTTGATTATTTGAGAGATTGTAGACTAGAGGAAATTCAGACGGACCTCCTTCTGGAGCTGTAGCGAATGCTTTGACTTTTCGGCGAGTTGAGTCCTTAACGCTTGGAGCTCGTGTTCCATATCCATTACCTGACAAAACAAAATGTGTCGTACGATATATCATATATATATATATATATATATATATGTGTGTGTGTGTGTGTGTGTGTGTGTGTGTGTGTGTGCACTAAAAGATATGGTAACGAACACCATGCTAGAATAGAATAAGGGGTATAGATGTAATTAATTACCCTACTAGGCTGATGCAGCATTTTGATTCGTCTAGCCTCTTGAACCTCCTTCATCAATTCTTCCACATCCTGATTAATTAAAAAAAAATTAGCAGAAATTAGCGCGAAAATTGCGTTTATTCGTAGTAACCAAATGAATGTGCAAAACGAATGTAATAATTTTCAGTAGAGACCTGATTTACGGAAGACAGCGACATTCGCTCGTGTTCTTGAAGAGCCTCTTCCACTCTCTGCACTGCAGCTCTCGCGTTTTCGATTTCATCACGTGCGAAAGCTCTTTCTTCATCCACAAGTCTCTTAGCATCTTCCGAAGCCTGTAAGATAATTTAATTGGAAAAAAAAACAAAGATAAAACGTGACAATAACTTTCATGACGAAACAAATTTGTTCGTAACTAACGTATGTATAGTAATTGCACCTGTTTCAAGAAAGACGCAAGCTTTTTCACTTCAGCCTTCTCTTGAATTAGCTCACCTTCCCTCTGAGTTAATTGAACCGCTAAAGCTTCGACCTGGAAAAATTACAAGAATGCCATATGTTACAAATCAAGAAATACTCGTTGGAAGCATTTTCGATGAAGTCGGGTAGAAACACTAAAGACTGAAACCAAAGATCACTATAAATTTATGTTCCGATATCAAACATCAAGGACTCGATTATATGATCTTCCCCATTATTGGGAAAACCCGTTCAATTATATCCCATATTAAGATCAAGCGTAACCATTAAATTGAATAATTCCAAAGACGTAGATTATCCGCGGTCGTATTTCTAGGTGACATTTCATCGACCCTTTTTTCATGTGTTGAACTACATTTTGAAAATACCGAAAATAAACGTATAGAATTAGATACAGATAAAAAAACCCGACCATAGTTATAGCTTCTTCCACGTCTTCTTTGTTTTTGCCAGCTACACGCCCTCTCAGAGCATCAAGAGCATCTCTGAGATTCTTTAAAAGCACGTGTTTTTCCAACGAAGCTGCCTCTTTAAGTCTCGCCTGGAACTCAACAAATATCGAAGGAAAAAAAAGTAAGACAAAGAAAAAGAAAATGCTGATATTAGTTTTACTCAATAGAAAGAAATTGCAGCAAAAAAAAAAAGGGCAGTTTTCAAAACCTCGTCGGATAACTTAACAGCAGCAGCCAAGCCCTTTTCGAATTTGCTAGCGAGATCTCGAACAGAAAGGCGTTTCTGCTGCTCGAGCAATAGGGCAGTTTCTTTTGCAACCATATCCTTCATGGTTGACATTTTCGAGTCCTCTTTGACCTCCACAATTTGATTGTTAGCCCCGATTTTGTAATTTGGAAATCGGCTCGAGGCGAAAAACACATCAGCTGAGACTGCGTCTTTTGGCATTGTATAACTAACACGGCTTAGCATCGTCATATTCTGGAATTTTCCTAGAGAAACCAATAATCTACGCGTGTTAATAAGACTAATTCGATCTGAAATTATCAATCCGCCTCGTTTAAGCTACATTTATCAACATGCATGTTGTGTTATAAGGACCAAAAAACAGCGAAATCTTTAGGGGTTGTTAATTAATTGAATTAAAACCCAAATCTTTTATTAAACCCAAAAAACCAGCACACTAAGTTAGTAACACCAAATGAATCTTGAAATTTAAGAAAGCAAAGCCACAAGATTGCATTTTTACTCTGTATTTTTATTATTATAAACACCAGCACACTAACTTAACTAGCAACACATGAATCTTGAAATTTAAGAAAGCAGAGCCACAAGATTGCATTTTTACTCTGTATTTTTATCAATTAAGCATGTTAATTAAATGAATATTTACAGTATTTAAATTAAACATTAATGGTTGCTATAAATCTTAATTACTTACAGGAAAACTCAAAAAAGTAACGAACAGAGATGCACAAAAATAAAATCAACATTAATGGTTGCCATAAATCTTGAAAACCTTAAACAGCTGTTCAAAGCCAAATATTCAGACAAAAGTAACAACCCTTAAGACCAAAAATTAAATGAAAAATAATAAATAATAAAATGAAATAAAAAGAAGACAAGAATCTTCTTTCAGATCATGTGAGTCTAAA